AAATGAGCAATAGGTTTTCAAATTCTCTTTTATCAAGCATCCATTCTGTTCTGTCATTGAACTTTCTAGACCTCTCATCTGCTTCTACATTGTGCTTGCCTGGCAGATGAGCTGCTGTGATTCAAATGTCAAGCTCAATACACCAATTCCATATGGTCCTAGCCATGGTGTTACAATCTAGTGATTTTGTCCCGCCCATGGCATTTATATATGCAACAGCGGTGGTGTTATCCGATCTCAATAGTATGTGGCAATTATTCATATCTGAACACAAGGATTTTAGTCCCAGGAAGGCAGCTAGATTCTCAAGATAGTTTATTCCATTATTTCTAGCCTAACTTAATTCCTGTTCATTCCATCTTCCCCCTGTGTGGGTATTCATGTTTGAAGCTCCCCAGCCGATGCTGCTAGCATCGGTTCTAATTTCTAAGGTGGCATTTTTGCGTCTAATTGGTGAGGAAGCCTGCTTAACATTATCCACCATTAAAGATCTTCCCTTGACCCATTTGATAAGGTCATGGGCGTGTCAAAGTGCCCATGATTCAATTTTAGAGCTAGAATTTTGTCTCTTTCTAGGGTTCTGTAAAAGAGAGGGCCGTGCTGTACTGCTGGGAAGGTTGAAATTAGTTTCCCTATAACATGTGCAACCTGCCTTGTACAAGGCTTGTGGTTTTGTAAGAGGTCTGCACAAACTGCAGCAAAATCTTTAGCCTTCTCATTAGGCAAAGTAATTGTGATATCTACGGTGTTCAAGGTGAAACCAAGGAAGGTCAACTTTGAGTGGGTTTCAAAACTGATTTATCAGGATGCACAATAAATTCTAAATCAAATAATATCTGAGTGGTGGCTTGTAATGCACTTATTACAACAGCTTCATCATCTCCTACAATGATGGTATCATCCAAATAACCCAGCACTGTATGTCCTGCTTCCCTCAAATGTGCAAAGACTGGTTTTAAGACTTTTGTAAACAACCTCGGGGCAATGCTCAACCCATTTGGTAGGCATTTGAATTGCCACAATTTCCCTTGCCACATAAATCTCAGGTACTTCCTGAATTTGAGATTTATTGGGATATAATAATAAGCATCACGGAGGTCGACTGAGGCTAGGTAGCAACCTTGAGAGAGCAGGAGAGCAGCATCATAGATATTATCCATCTTGGAATGCTGACCCAAAAGATTTTTGTTCAGTTCAGAGAGATAATTAAGCGCACTCTCCTGATTTCTTGGGTCGAGTAAAAATATTTGACAAGAATTCCCCTTCTTCATGCTTAATGCAGGGTTCAATAACATTCTTACTAGCCAATTTTATGATCTCTGAATTGATGCTATCTTCTTCTTATGAGCTTTTCCTGAAAGGAAAGGATGGCTTGGTGCGGACTGGGGGCATGAGTGCCTGGTCAAATTCTATTTTATAGCCCTTTATAGCTTGGAGAATGATAGTGTCAGAAGTGATTGTGCACCAGTTCTGATAAAATAGCCTCAGTCGACCTCCAACAGGACGGTCATTGTGTATACTACTACCTACCTCATTCGTGGTAGTGTGAGTAGTTAAGTCCTCCACTGGAACGTCCCTGGCTTCGAGCGTCTCTGGTTCTGTGCTTGTACTGGCCTCGTTGATGTCGAGGCAGGCGGCAGGCTTCTCTGATTCTGAGCCGCCGAGAGCGCTGGCCTAAAAAAGGACGGCTGGGTGCAGAGCTTGAAGGGTATCTGTTGGTAGAGTTAGAGGTCCAACCTGCACTTCGGTATTGTCGCCGAGAGAAGCCGGCCTCAGGAAGTTTCTTGTAAGGATGGTAATGGCACAAGAAAATGTCGCTGAGACTGTCCTTTCACTACCTCTGAAGCAGCTCTTTGCTCATCTTTGAGATCATCCCCAAATAGAAAGTTAGTAATGGGGGCAGAAGGCTTACACAAATGCGTACACGCTGGATTCATGTCAGGTTTGATGCATTCATTGTGTAAGCAGTTCATCTCAAACAGAGAGTTGCATAGGAGGGCAAGCGCATCCTCCTTTTTATCAGTAATTGTCCGCTGGCAAGGATTGAACAAAAGCACTAAGTCCTCTCGATAGGGATTTCTGCTCTCTTTGCAGTTTCAAGTCCCTTCCACGTGTAGTTGGAGATAAGTTATCCCAAATAATCTGGTTAACTTTAGACGTGTCTGAGGAGCGACAGTTGCTTGGTAGGAAATATTTTGAGGATGTATCTTCCAAAGTTTTTTCCTCCAATTGATGGATAGTCATATAGGTGACTGAATTGGCAAGATCTTCCTCTACTGGTTCTCCAATACCAGTAGGCAAGGCAAACTAGGCTGCAATAGCTGGTAAAGTATCTGAGGCTGAGCTAGTAGTATTTGTTTGTTGGCCCATGTAATCTGATTGAATGTCATCGTAATCGTAGCAAGGGCCCAACTCCTCATCTCGTTCATCAACTTGATCAAGATGGCCGCCGTGGCCGTGAAAAACTTGGCTCTCCGTTTCCACGTGAGCAGACTTTCCGCCAACATCAACACGTGCTGGTTGGTTCGACATAGCCTCCATTTTGTTCATGACACGGGCAAACATATTTTCCAATTTATTGAGTCTGTCCCCAAAGTTATGCTCCTGGCTATCCGGTGCTTTGGAGACTGTGGATGAAGCGGGAACAGCCTCCGCTTTCTTCATTTTTGCGGGAACAACCTCTGCTTTTCTCTTTTTTGCAGGAAAAACTTCCGCTGATTTCATAGATTTTTCCTGCCCATCTGAGTGGACGAGCCAGCAGAGCGCTTTCGCTCCTCCAGTGCGCCGCCAGGGTTTTTTGTCGAAGGGACGGCTGGGCGGTCAGACACAGCCACTCGATCTTCGATCGACGACATAATCAAAAGAAGTTTCGGAGCTCAAAATTGCTCTTGAAGAAGTCGAAACAGATAAATCCAGATAACAACCTATAAACAAGCTTTGTTTCTCAAAGAAACAATTGTCTATGACAAAGAAAAAGTGTATTTTTCATGTAAAATTTGACTGCTCTGAGAAGTTACTTCTCAGTAAAACCATGCAAAGAAGTGAAATGACTGCGCATGCGCGAGGTAGGTTCTCATGTGAGCTCTTATGGAGACTCATGAAATAAAATAACTCCACACAACTTACCAACAATATATGTTGCATTGTTGACATGAAGACGAAAATAAACACCATAACTTATTTTTCTAATAAAATCTGCTATAGATCAAGATCTAAAGTCTGTACCATTGCATCGCCAAAAAGTAAAAGAAGGGACAGACCGTTACTTACGGAGCTAGCTGCCGCGCAACTCAACTGCGCAGATCGAAGTCCCAATTCCGGATTACACCGCACAACGTGGTATGGGTATGATACCAACTCTGCGTGCAATACAGTACTAGCTTAACAATCGACAAAGATCTGCTGAATTACGATCATTTTTTAGGTAAAATTCTTGGTCATTTATAAAGATTGATGAATTTGGTATCACTTTGTAGGAAAAATAGTGTTGTACAAGAAAATTACGATTATTTTGTTTTGTCCATTTGTTGTTTTTTTCTCTTTTTTCCTCTACGAAATGTCAAATTTTGGGGTGCGGCCTATGCGGTGCTGCGGCCTTATTGCCGGCAAATACGGTATATAGAATGATCCGTAAGCCACCCGACCTCAAGATTAGTTCAATCTATCAATTAATAAGAGAGAGTTACCGGTATACATTCAATTAAATCTAACCAATGACAAAGAACAATAAATAGAGTGGTTCTGACTGCGTACTGGAGAAAGTAAGAGGAGCCTAGAGCCCCGCAAGAATGTTCAATCCCCAGAAAAACAGTCTATTGTCTAACGTGTTTATCAAAAATTAACACCTGTAAATCTAATGCAGAAATTCAAGTCCATGGGGTGTTTCCCTTACCTGGCATACTATCGGGGACATAACTAATTCTGTTTAACTTTAGATGTATACAAATTAACTCAAACTAATAACCATGCAAATGATCAACTGAACCCAACATCTCTATTGCTATAGCCCCCTCCCCCCCCCCCCCGGTCAATGTTTTGCCCAAATCAGCGTGCCACTACAATACTAATAACATTGGACACCCCATAAGAACTACCGAAACTTATTTCTTTCTACTGAGAGCATGAATGCAATCAGAATTAGGGGATTCTGCTCTCAAAATGTGGTGTCTCAAATGTATACGTTGAAAACATATAATTAAAATGTTGATCATGAATAATATTAATAATATTGTCCAACATACATGTACATGTAAGTCTTAGATGAAATTATGAAATATTGCTCGTAAACTTCTTTAAATTGCTTTTTTAAAACAACTGTCTCAGAGACGCCAAGTTCAAAGATCGGCAATGCGTGACAATTTAATGATTCGGCACGCGCGTGCGAGGGTATAAGGTATAGCGTTTTTTTCAAAATCTAGCGCGCGCGTCGTGCGTAAGAGCCATTTCAGACCCTCAAAATGCATGATGTCACGCCTAATGCGTGATACTTGGTAGCTCTGCTGTCTGTGTATATGAAAAGTGTATTGTCTATAATTAACAGTGGCTTGTGAATTGTGTTGGCTTGTGCCTGATGCCATGAGGTAAGAAATTTTTCTGAGATTATGTTGCAGGGAATCAAGTATTAAAACAGATTTCCTGACAATTCTGAATCACTCACAATCCATACATGTACATTGTATGTGGCGCTGTGTCAATCTCGAGCAACTTCTATGTTGATGATCAAGGTAAAAAGTAAAAACATCCAAATATCCTGCTCATACCGGTACTTCATAGAGCCTACTGGTAGCCTTTTTTTTCTTCTCCCAAAAAGTGAAAGTCAGAATTAAATTTTCTATGACAACTCATTCAAAACAGCAATCTCTTCCCATAATTTGACATTTAAATGCTTAATTGCTCAAGAAACAATAATGACATGATAGTGATTATTGCTACATGTAATGTAGTGTTATAACTTTTGGACTCTAGACCAACTACTGTTTGTTTTAATATTGTGGTTTCAGAAGTAGAAGCTTTCACTTGATGCCTTTCTCAAGATGGCTGCATCAGATGATGCAGTTAAACATGGAGGAAGATGGACATTGATTGATGAAGAGGGAAATGTCCAGGTTGGTTGAAATAATCTTGTGATTTCAGTTCAATTAATTTAGTATGTACCAGTATTTCCAAAGTGTTCGATTGCATGTCCTTGTGATTGATATTGTTTGGCTCCAAAGAGCTGGAGATACGGAATTCATTCTTCTGACCTACTTACAAGTATGTGATAATAACAGATATACTATTGCAACCAACTTGGAGAAGACGATAAGTAAAATGTTGACAAGTGGCAACAAATTGTTAGAAATTCATGAAAGATGTGTTCAAGTTGTTGAAGATAGACAGTATTCATTTAAAAAAGATTCAAATAATCTTTTGGGGGGATTGAATTCAGGATCGTTTAGTGGATAGCAAAATAATAGCTATATTTAAATTGCACACACAACCATCCCAGGACATGCTCAAGGTCCCTACAAAGTATTGCCCTGTCTTTAGCCCAGATGCCTTAAAGGTAATACAAAGTTTTGGTAATATTTCAACAGGATTGAATTATTAAATTTAAAATTTGCATTACCATTGTGAAACCTAATGTTAGAATTTTTTTTAAAATGGGCTCTAAAACGCTTCAGATTTCGAGATATTAAAATATCAAATTTATCTGTGCTCTTGATGAATTTCAAATAGCGCCTACAGCCAGACGATGGTAGCTGCGACCATGAAAATCTCAGAATATGCAGTTCTGATATATAATTTCTAAAAACGGGAATAGAAAATCGGTCGATTTTGGTCAAGAAACATTGTTTTGAAGCTCAAGTAATATCAAACTTGAGGGGACTAAACAACATGAAGAGTTTATTATTCACAATTTTATCCCTTTAGACTTGTTTCCAACTGCGACAATGATCACTGAATATTGTACGTAGGATCGCTTATGCTTCCAATATGTTCATTTGAACCAAATTCATGATCCAATACCTTGTATTACCTTTTAGGCACTCAAAGCAGTCAAGGACTAAATTTCTATCAGGTACCGATTTATATGTACTACACCTGGGTGGAGACTGGAGAGTGGCAAATGTATAAAAGCTTTTCTCCTATGTGATTTCAGGGTTCTGACAGTGACATTGGGTCTGTATCTTCATCAGACTGTGTTGCTGTGGAAGAGGATGCAGTCTCCTACCATGCTAAGAGGACTAACAGCCAGAGCAGCACAGGCAGCCTACCATGGAACCAGAGAGAGCATTCCATAGACCAGGCACAGGTAAAGAACTTTTTCAGAACAGGCATAGATTACTTTGGGGCAAATAAAGTACAGGACAATTCATCCAGATAGTAGGTTAAACATGAACAAATGAAAAAACAAAAACACGATCATACTTTCATGTCTGAGCTAATTTGCATGAGCTTTTATATTTGCTGGTAACTCACCCAGATATTAGCCAAAGTTTGAGTTATTGCATCAATATTGATATAATTTGAAAGGCCTTGATTGGAATAGAAGGGTGTTTCCCATGAGCTGATGACTGATTTCAAGAGTTTGAATGACAAGTTAAATATCCTGAAAGTGAGTGCGATATATACCCTTACACATAAGAATAAAAAACTTATTTCTTCCTTATCCCAGTGTATAGCTAGGCTGCGTGCATACATCTGTTGTCGTAACTGTCTGCATTTTAACGCGTATTCACCTATTTACGCATTCACGCACCCCAAACCATGATATATTGAAAATTTACTGCACAGTCATGCAGGAACAATTTGCAGAACATGAGATACAGGGGAAACTTGATATAACGAGGTAAATAACGAGGATATCGCATGGGCCTGATCTAATTTACGTGTAATTCTGTGGTTGCAGGAACCTCTTATAACAAGATCGGCTATAGCAAGATTTTGGCTATGATGAGCTAAATCCTGTGTCCCTTTATCAAGGAAAAACATTGTTAATCATTCCTGTTTCACTGCTCGTCATGCATATGACAGTTCATTGGAGCTTAACTTTCTTTTGCCCCGAAATCATTCCACACAGCCTGCAAGCACGTATAGTGAATGATGTCGGACCTAAATGCTGGCTATGCGCTTGAAGCAGGAAGCTCTCATAGGGCGTGTTCACACCGCAAGGGGGACCCTGGGCGTGTTCACACCCAAGGGTAGCGCGACCCACGGTACGCCCATTGGCATTGGCCGGATCCACACCGCAGTGAGATCGTAGCACCCCCTTTTTTGAGAGGTCCTGTTGCCATGACGCGTGACGTCATGAGGTCAGAGCGGTCAAAGATTTCGCATGCTATTACGAACCCGGAGTGTTAAGTTGTACCGATTCAGATTCAGATCGCACCAAAATAGAATGAGTATAAAATTCCCCGCGTGTAGAACGATGACTTCCGGCGTGCTATCGTAGCTCGGGTTCACACTGGCAGAGATAGCGTGGTCTAGCTAGACCGCGCTATCTCTGCCGGTGTGAACAGCCTCATAGACTTGCGTACAGTGTACTGTAAACATACGTGGTACCTTAATTTTTCCAAATTTTAGAACTCATGAAAATATAAGCATGACTTCTTATGCATGTTTCGAACGGGTTGAATTGCTTGCGAATTTAAGAACCTGCAAATATGTTTTGGGGTCGCTCAGCATGTAAAATGAATCATTCGCAAATATCAGCGTTTACAGTTCTTACACTTCAAAGACACTGGCTATCTAAGCATGCTTGCTCTTGTTCTATCGAGCGGGTGCATGAGAAAGAGTGGTGGTGTGTCTGGGACAAAGATTATGATTGGACAGTCAATTGGGGAAGATTACAGCATGCACAAGACAAGCACGCGAGAAAGAGTGGAGCTGTGACTAGAATAAAGAGAATGATTAGACAGTCGATTAGGGACGACGGCAGCGTACACAAGACAGGAATCCAGTTACACATTTATCAGAGATGCAGATATGATTGGCTTAGACAAAGTCAGTCTTACTCGGAGGTGATTCATTTTAATTATGTACTGGGAGTAGCATGTGTGGGGGCACATGCCTCCGGGGCAACAGTGATGAACTTCACTTTTGTGCACCCTGACCCACTTGCTGCTCCCTTATCTCTTTGCATGTGTTTGTTTATTCTTATTATGTACTCGTCTCTTGCCATGCTGTATTGTATTTGTGCTTTTTATATGAATGGTCAAATAAATAATAATAATAATAATAATAACAATTATTCATGAGCAGGGGCAAAAATGGACAGGGGCCGGTTCATGAAATATTACGTCAGGTTTTTGCCTTTTGGATGATGTTTCTCTAAACTCAAAAACACAAGTGATGGGTGGATGTAAACAAAAATTAGAACAACAGTTGGCTGAGAGGCAATTTATCTATGCAAATGAGATTCCAATTTTCCCACTTCCTGATCAGTACTATTTACAAGGGTCTGAGGGCATTTAATTGTTTTATTTGATAAGATCATTATTATTTAAAATCATTTTTTAATGAATACTAGATCTTATTGATGAAATAATAAATTATGGTCAATATTTGGGCATGGGCAAAAAAGAATTAAGACTTTACCAGCTAAATTCTCGTTGATGTGCTTCTCCAATATTCTCTACCATGCATATTCTCATGGACTCTTCCGGATATTTCCACCAATCAGATCATTGTGGATAGGTAGTAATTAATCATGTTCAGCAAACAACCCAAAGTCTCTGTCCCGTCACCACTACCCGAACCATCTTATCTTAACCCGAACCAGCTTACGTAAGCACCATTACGATGTTTGTACAGAGGAGTTTTTAAGAAGAAAAAAAAAATCATCACCACGCCGTTACATCACACTCGCATTATGTATTTGTATCACACTCTCAAACTTCAGAGGCACAAAGGCTATCGCAAGCATAGTATACCCCCCCCCCCCCTCCCTCAATTAAGCCTATTGAGCCTATTATTTTGCCAGCCACAAAAATTACATATGCATTACATTATCCCCATCCACATGTCGCTTCTCTTTAATTCTTTGCATTGATTTTAAACACTTATTTACTCAAAATCAAATTTCCACTAATTTTCTATCATATGTGCATTGTTACGATTTCACAATGCACACTCCTGTTAAAAACACTATTTTTATAATTTTATTTAGATTTAAATATACAAATATGAAGGAATATGATGGAGAAAAAAAAACGAATTTTCTGTAAAATATCTAAATTTTCTACAAAATTGACTTATAAAACATAACGTATTGAAGCCACACTTTGTGATACAATGCATGGCTGGCTGCTTTAGTATATCCTTAATTGTAATTTAACCCCAAAAATCTCAATACAAGTTGCTCATAAAAAATATTCAGCCATTTTAACAGCACATTCTGGTATGCTGTTAGCATGTTTCGGACGTTACATTAAACTGTTAACAGACATTTTTATACTTTAACTAGTTCAAATGAGGGGCAAAGATAGATGTGAGAATAGCAAATTTCAATTTTTCAACCTCTCCTCTTGCTATTTACATTGCTGTGTGTTTGCAAATCATCAGGTTTTCATTTTTATAGAGGTTGTTCCAAATGATGTCATATAACCAAAGATTGTATGGTCAATTTAAACTATTAAGTAGGTTACAAAAGCTAAAGATCACCCACTTAACTGAGAATACCCAGTGTGTACATGACATGGGTATGATACAGGTATATAAAGTTGATGAAATCAATTAAATTAAAATGTTTTTCTAAAAATTTATGGGAAATATGGCTTTTTCATCTGAAAATACATTTTAAAAAGGGCACTCAGCACATGTAACTAATCTGTGTACAAAGGATTACTACTGCCATTATCCAATACTGAAAAGAGCATTAATACCTTATCTAATGATCCTAAACATACAGTATCTTCCTCAAATGTATGCATTTATTTATTTATTTATTTAAAATGGTTTATTTCATTCAAAAACATTCGCGGCCCGAGAGCCGAATTGCAGTTTCTTTTACAAAGTATACATCAATGACAGAGTAAAATTACACGTAAAACATTATGCATGGTAAAATTATGGTAGTAAAATTGGAATTCTTTTGTACATATGATATATAATTGTAATTGTGCTTTAACGACCTTGGCAAATTGCTTGGTACATGTACAGAAATTCGAATTGTATTACCATATTTGCAATAAAATTATATATTGAAATTATACAATATATGAATAGTAATACATTTTTTATATTAAAAAAAATTAAATGCTTTGGTTTGAAAATGCATAGCCAGATGGGTAAGGTATGGTTATGGTGTTTTCTTCAATAACAGAAACAGAGACAACAACAGAAACCAAATCCAGGAATCATAAAATCAAATAGATGCTACAATGATTTAAACAAGTATACATTGTAGTTAAAATGCAGAAAATTTTGTATTTGGGCCAATTTAGTAAAAGGTACATGTAGAATATTGCATAAAAATAAGATAAGTTTCGCATAAAAAACATGGTTAAAAGGTTGCCATTGTAATATTCGATATAATGTGCATCATCTTGGGAATTGTTAAAAAGTCAAACAGAAATTTTGTACAATTAAATCTGATTTAGTTTAAAAAAGTAAAATTCTATAGTAACATTATTCAAAAATGCATTCACATGTCACCCTTTTATTTAGGAAGTTATATCAGAGAAATAGACAGAGAGAGATGGAGAAAGAGAGAAAGAAGGAGAGTGAGAAAAGTAAGAGAGAGGGGGGAGGGTGGGAGAGAGATAGGGAGAGAAAGAGAGATAGAGAGAGAGGAGAGAGAGGGAGAGCGAGAGAGAGAGAGAGAGAGAGAGAGAGAGAGAGAAAGAGAGAGAGAGAGAGAGAGAGAGAGGGGAGACAAAGAGTGAGAGTAACAAGACAGAGAGCTAGAGAACAAGGAAGCCATGAAGAGGGTCTCCTCGCTCCGCAGCACAGCACTGACATAGAGGAGAAAATAGGGGTAATGAGAGAGTGAAAGTAGTAGAGAACAATGAATGTGTTCGTCGAAGGTGAAACTAGTAATTATTCAGTACTATGAACGTTTAACAATCTGACTAGATATGGCAACGGACTGTTTCTATACCGTGTCGTTTTGCATGGCATTTCAGTGAGCTTGCTTTTATTTCTCAGATTTCGAGAATGGGAGTCCCCACGTGTTTGGGGTAGCCAATGACTAAACTTTGACCCAGGCTCGAGCAGCTTCTTTGCAAATTTGAGGCACAGACATTCTCTGCGGTCACTCAAAGAGGACACTTTACACAGTTGAAGAGCGTTTTGATACGAGACAAAACGTGGCCCTAACATGAGGCGGCACGCTCGCTTTTGAATTCTCTCTATTTGTTCATTTTGTTTGGCAGACAAGCCGGAGTTCCAAACGGGCGCACAATATTCCAACACTGGCCTTATGTATGAACAGTAAATGAGCACTAGATCATCTAAGGGCAATCGAAATTTAGTGAGAACTCTCAGCATATGCAGCCTCATGTTTGCCTTCTTAACAATTTCATTGACATGAGAAGTCCATTTTAGATCTTTTTGGATGAAAACCCCTAGTAATTTGACACAATCTACTCGGCTAATGTCATGTCCATCAATTTGGATGACAGGCGGTGGGGGTGGTTCACGCATGAAAGTTACTGTCATCACAGAACACTTTTTGTGGTTCAGTTTCATGTTGTTGTCTACAGTCCATTCTTGTAGGTTGCTCACGCTTGACTGGATATTCGGTGGCGATGGGGATTTCCTGCAATCTAGCATGGTTAGGTCATCCACATATTTCCAGTAAGACGACGGTGACCTCCGGCATGCCTCATTGATGATAGCCAGGAAGATAATAGGACCGAGTCTAGTCCCTTGTGGAGCCCCTGCAGAAACTTCCAGCCAATCAGAGAGCGTCGTTCGATATTTCACGCTCTGTTGTCGTTTGGTGAGAAAGTTCGCTATCCATGCTACAGCACTCGGACGGACGTTCATCTGGAGCAGTTTGAGGACAGCTATATTGTGGTCTATCCTATCGAACGCTTTACTGAAGTCCGTTGTCACCATTGTAGTAATGATTTTGGGCTTGTCAGCGTTGCTGTGAATCATTTGTAGGAGATCAATCAAGTAGTGAGAGGTGGATACAGCCCTCATGTTCCCGAATTGTGCTGGGTCTATGTTGTTCTCCATGTCGCTGAAAGTCCACTTAGCAATGAACTTTTCGGCTATCTTGGCAAAATGATCAGTCAAAGATACTGGTCTGAGGTTATCGATAGATGCTCGAGATGTCTTGGGAATGGGAACAACATGCGCTCTCTTCCAACGCTCTGGTACAATGGACTGACTAAAAGATGCGTTTAGAATATCAGTAAGCGGAGAGCAAAGCTCATAAGAGAATTTCTTGACAAGTCTGGCCGAAATGCCGTCCGGTCCAGGAGCTTTCCGTTGTTTTATGGCTTTCAACTCGCGATAAACTTCCCATGGTTGAACAAGGGGAAGTGGTTGGTCAGCCGGTAGATATGACGGCAAACTAGAAGGGTCCAATCTAGGAATGTCGTTTGCAATGTTCACGAAGAAGTTGTTGATTCGCCGTTGCATCGAAGTCAGTAGGAGAAGTCCCTTGCATACATACATGTATATAAGCTAGTGTGAAATATAAATGGGCTTTAATACTGCTTGTCCCTTTTCTCTTGCCTATTCATTAACCATCGTTTATCGTTAAACCAGGCCTGATAAAAACTTGATTTAAATCGGTTTCCAGATTTTTTAAAAAAATTTCCCCGATTTTTTCCCGATTTTATTTTTCTTCCCTATTTTATCCTGATTTTCCTGATTCCCCCTTATTTTCTCTATTCTTCCCTATTTTGCCAAATTTTCTTACTCGAAAGGGGGAAATGTTCTTTTTTAGATGCCATACTTTCCCCGCGAATCCTCTTCTTTTTTTTTTTACTCAAGGGGGGCGTGGTTGAGGGGAAAACAAAAAACTTTTTTTTTTTAGTGCTCACTATCACCCCTGTTAAACAGAGACATTTGAAGGATCCTGTAAAAAAGTTTTATTCTATGAATCTATAATGTTTCACAGATAACTAGAATACTTGATTTACGCTCCGAACATCTAATTGGTATCCACATACCTGTTGGAGCAATGTGCAAGCTAAGATACATGTTTAACCTATACTGTTTGTCACCTGTGATATCGGCACAGCAAGAGTTAAGATCAATCAACCAACCCAACCAATCAATCCATCCACCCATCCATCCACCCATCCATCCATCAATCGGTCATCAAGTAAATAAATAGATACTTATTTAAGAGCATTTTCAAGTGTTGTCTTTTGAAACAGCCTCCTAATACAAATCGTGGTAAAGGATGATTCTTACTAGTATTACAATTTAAAACATACACAATTTTAAAATACATGTAAAATGTCTCATTCTCGGGATGTACAATGGAAAAGAATTCCCTTATTAGGTGGTCTGTCGTAGACAGATCACCTATTGATTTCGTCAGAATTTTCTTTCTTTTTTTATTTATTTATTATTCTTTATTTTTTTTTATTTCTCCCCCTTTTTTGTTCCGAGGATAACTCAAGATCAGTTTAGTCAATTCCTTTCAATTTTGGCACAGTCATAGGTCATTGTCATGAGACGTGACATGAACATTTTAAAGGTCATCAAGTCTTAAATGACGTCATCCAGGTGCCATTTTGTGAAATCACATTATCCATCATATCTTCATGATGCGTCATCAAAGGTCATTCATATTCATATCACATATACTTCAGGTCAAGGGTCAACAGGTCATGTCAGCAAAGGTCAATTAAGGTCATGACACACGCCTACGCGCGCGTCAAAATTTAAAAATGCTCAAAATCACTTAACTATTAAAAGAGAGTACGAATCAGGCCATTTTTTGCAATTCGCAACATAGAATTGCCAAATTTTCTGGGTCATCATATTTGACAAATTTTCTCTTTGAAATTCAGATACCGTCCGCCAAATGACTTTTTGGTTTCCTCTCTTCAAATTCATTTTAATCACTCATGCATGAAATATGCATTATATGAATTACATCAAATGAAAGAGGAGTATTTAAGCTTTCCAAATATGTGTCATTTATCAATTATAATTGTGATTAAGTTATGACAAAACATTGATAATTCTCGGTTTCGTTTTTTCTGGGACGCACTGTACATGTACCTGTATTTACCATGTTGACATGGTTGTGGAATTATTTGAATTGTTACTTAATTTGTCTTATAATTTATATATTTTTTTAAAAACCCTTTAAGTTTAACAAAAATTAGCTTTATGTACGGAAGAACCGAAAAAGGTTACTTTCAATAAGAATTAATATCCCAATAACATTAGAACCATCCATATTGGAACAACATGTAGAGGAATTATTCAGTAGGAAGTCAATACTATATTTTTCACCTGTTTAATCTTAAAAACATTTCAAACTTATTTTAAACATATACCAGTATTTAACCACCTAGTACATTACCTTTGATATGCATGTAATTTATTGACATTTTTAATCATACCATGATGACATACCTGTACACCTAAACAAAGAGAAAAAATGGTTGTATTATATCATGGTAAACCATGATTTTAATCCATTTCTCATTGAAATTACCATGTACAAGTGTAGCTTAATAATATGATTGAAAACTTTTATTTATTATGATACATTAATTTACATGTGAAATAAACACATTGAAAATGATAGATAATGGACCTCTAGAAGAACATGATTACAAATAACATCCAATCAAAATAATCATTACTCATTAAATCCACAATTTAATGCAATGTCCAAAAAATCCAAACAGATGTCCACGTTTCCTTATTCCTATCATTACTGTTCCTTATCCAGCATAGTTATTTATTCATGTCTTTTTTTCTTCCTTTGGTATTTTGTTTGTGTCCTTGCTCAGAATGTCCCATCTTCATCATGGTTAGGTGGAATAGGTGGTTTTTGGAGTCAGGGCAGGTCTCCAGCTGACTCAAACTCTCGACTCAATGAATCTGGAGAGAATGAATGCTTCTCACCTATATTCCAGCAGGAGAAGGGTAGGCTGTGCAAATTTGCGTTTGAAATTGTAATATGATATTTTTTAGTTCTCAATTTGAACTCTTCTTACAAAAAAAAACAAAAAAATGTTTCCATAGTTGACGATAAGTAGGGAAACGATGAGGGTAGTAGTATTCATTTCTGAGTAAGAATTATGAAGTGATATAATATGATTTTGCATGAATCTGAATTGAAATGCTTCTCGAAAGAGCATTATAGAAATTTTCAAGAAAAACAATTGTTCTTGTGTGTATTGTACATGCATGGGGGGGGGGGGTACCCATATTACTGTCTACCTTCATTGTTTATAGACAAATGTATGTCATGTTTTTGTTGATGCCTAAATGAAAAATTGCATCATAATCCTTTTTTTTGGTATAGATTTAGAAATGTAATGAGAGAAATCATCAGTTAGGCTTTGTATGCACAATATACAGTATCCCTTCTCCCCCGTGTAAAGGATAGAAGAAGAAGAAAGAAAAAAACAATCACAGCAAAATAACCATATTATGTTTACCCTATTGCACACTGGAACCAGGTGGGTCTTAATTGAAGTAAGCCTATGGGATTGAGAGAATGCAGAAATCAAAGGGCAAAACGAAGGGCGAAGGGCAAGTGGGGGTAAATTTAAGTACATGCAAGGCCCCTAATATCTCTGTATCTTTAAAGGCACAAAAATGTGACACTTCCTAGTACTACCTTTTTGACAGTTTAATTTCACTGCTGTTTTTTTTTCCTCTTCTTTTCTTGGGAGGTTTACTGTGTCATAGAGGGTTAGGAGAACATGATAATTCAAATTTTTCATTTTTATTTCAGATACCCTAGACACAGAATCACTCGAAAGTATAGAGGTATTATCCATGACATGTGATAATCACAGTGACAAAGACATCCATCCCCACAATCACCACAAGGAGACTCCTGATGCCTTTGACCCACAGGGAGTAGTAGGTCTAGGAACGGGCTGGAATCGTCATAGCGACGTCGCCAAGCCAATGTGCTCAAACAATGTGGTCTCCCCTGTGGAAGGTAAGTTCCTCCTAAATTAATTAATGTTTCACTTCAAGCCAAGATTTGATAAGATATTCAGTTGTTAATAAATAATGGTTGTATCATATCTATGTAAAACTTGATACTACACATGCAAGAGGTTTACATTCATGTATGTGTAACTAAATACCTTTTGACTTAATTAATTTCATGCACGTTTACATGTACCTATTTACCAGATTTTCTGTGTTAGTTTATTAATTAGTGTCTTAAATATGGTATTACAGTCAAACCTAGATTAGCGACCACCTGTCCATAATGACCACTTAAATCACCCCGTGAGATTTCATGTATAGAACCTGTCCACAATTACCACCTGTCTAACGCGACCAGCGGCCACTCATTTTGCTTCCGCATGCCACCAAAGTTTCCTACACAACGACCGCCAGGGCCAGCCGTATAGTGAACAACGGCAGCCATGTAGCGACCAGCCACAGCAGCGTTTGAGCTCACACAGAGCGGCTAACTATAAAGCTAGATCTAACTATTCAATCCTAAGCTTTTATTAAAACTTCAATCAGAACATTTAATTACCGACAGGATACTGTTTCTTGCACTATTCATTATGGGCTGTTTCTATTGAAAACATAACAATCCAGAGTCAGTGTCATATGAACTTCGCAATCGATGGCTTGCTTGTTTGTCATGCACAAGTACAGGCACTGCTGGCCTAGCTAGCCTGCAATCTAAGAGGCATAGTAAGTGGGCCCGGCCTGTCCGTCAATCAAATTTTCAGACTCATTCATATCATTTCTTTTAAATAATTTTTGATATGCGTTTTTTTATAAATGCCGGACAATTTCAAAGAGAGAAAATCATGTTTAATCATTTTGTATTTTTATTTTGACTAAAAAACATACCACTTTTTCTTTATTTAATTTTTAAACACCAAAAAATAAACTTGCGTTTGTTAGATTCATCGATCAGCTCTCCGCCTTGTTTTCGCCAGACTGAGCCCTAATTAAGCCACGGCGAATTATTTTTTTTTTTATCTTTTAAAACTTTTATTTTCTCAAGTAATTCTTACATACATCATGATAACAATAATCATAACAATCACTGCACAATAATTACAAAAGGTAAGAACAGATGAAAAACGTCCAACAATAGTCAGAAATAGTGGGTAACAATTTGTTTTCTACAGTATATATCATAGGATTAAAATCAAAATAATTCTTCCACAGGGGACCATTTCTTATAGTGCATTCCTTCAATCTTCTTCTGTTCTGCAATGTTAAGTTCTTTGTATTTCGTGTTACTGATAAAAGACATTAGCCCACTTAAACATGGTTTTGCGTTTTTGCATTTTTGGATATAAATATATCTTTTAAACATAAGCAACAAGTGATACAATAGCATCATATTGGGCCCTTTCCAATCTTTGATGAATCCAAACATTATCCTTTTCTTACTGAGATCTTCAAACTTCAAGATTTGTGTTTTGCCAATCAATGTTAGTGCTCTGTTTTTCCATTTAGCAAGTATATTTCTCATTTCTTTAATTTGAGTTTCAAAGTTTATTTTCCTTGCTTCTTCAAAGTCATATGAGAAATATATCCCCAGAACTTTTATGCCATTCTCAGGCCATGTATAAGCACTGTCCTTTTCACCTATATGCCTATTCTTACCGATCCACATGCCTTCAGTTTTAGATTTATTTATACAAAGACCAGACATTTTTGAAAATTCCTCAAACTCTGAAAATACAATTTTTTAGGGACTCATTACTTTTGCAAAAACATGTTATGTCATCAGCATAAGCTGTGTATTTTATTTTCTTTCCCCCTACTTCATAACCCACAATATTGCCATTATTTCTTACTCTATTCAAATATACTTCCAATCCCAAAATGAATAACAGAGGTGCAAGATGATCACCCTGCCTTACTCCTCTGCTAACTTTGAAGTAACCTGTAGTGAACCCATTTAACAGAACACAGCTACTGATATCTTTATATAGAATTTTAACCCACTGTATTAGTGAGGGCCCAAAGTTATAGGCTTCCATACATTGGAAAATAAATGAATGGCTTAATGATTCGAATGCCTTGGTGAGATCCAATGCCATTATTATACCTTGTAAATCCTCTTTATCTGCATAAAACATGAGATCTGATATTAATCAAATCCCTGCTCCAATATATCTCCCTTTAACAAAGGCAGTCTGTTGACTGTTGATCAAATTTTCTATAATTTTAGATATCCTTTTGGCTAAACATTTAGAAAGGATTTTTGCGTCAACATTTATCAGAGTGATTGGTCACCAGTTACCAAGTTTAAGTTTGCCCTTGTTGGGCTTAGGAATTAATTTTTATTACTCCCTGCCTTTGTGAAACTGACATACACTCATCATTGTATGAAGCATTAAAAGAATCAATCATATATTTTGAAACCAAAGGCCAAAATACCTCATAAAACTCTACTGTGATGCCATCATTTCCTGGAGTTTTATCTTTTGCCATTTTCATCAATTCCTCTTTTGCCTCATTGCATGATATGCAACCTTCACACGAGGCCTTTTCTGATTCTGTTAACTGCTCAAGTCTACTTTGACAAATATATTCCATACAATCCTCTTGATATACCATATCTCTATTCTCAAAAAATGGTTGAAAGGATTCTTTAATAAACATTTGGATGTTTGCTTGTTTTCGAATAAGCCCATCCTTTGTATCCAACACATCAATACATGTATTTTCAGCCAGGCTTTTCTCTAATGATAAAAAAATACTTGTTACTTTTCTCACCCTTTTCATACCAAGTGCACTTTGACCTCAAAATTGCCCCATCCGCAAAATAGTCGTAAATTTTATGTAATTTCTCTTCAATTTGTTTCTTTCTAATTAAAGTTTCTTCTTTCAAACTGTCCCCTTCCATTTCATATATTTTTTTCAGCTCTTCCTCTAGCTCTTGTCTCAGCTTTTCCTTTCACATTTTTTCTTTTTTAGAAAATGGGATAGTAAACTCTCGTATTTTATATTTTAGCCAGTCCCACAGCATTTTTTTTGTCATATTTATGTTCATATTCATCAACCCATAAAGGGACATTGTCACTAAGAGCCTTAACAAACTCCTCATTGTTTAATAAACTGTTGTTGAATTTCCAGTATGAAGGCCCCATTCTCTGTTTCTTAACATGTAAGTGCAATGTAACATAATCATGGTCTGACAGCACACATGGAAATATATCATTTCTGTGATTAGCCAGAAGTCTAGTCTTGATTGGACATATGGTGTATACCTCCTCCAAGTGAATCTTTTAGTTGTTTGGTTTCTTACTCTCCAATTATCGATAAGATTAAAATAATCTTTCAAACTGTCTACCAGGGTACAAGAATGCTTCCAAATTGTTTTCATAGCACCCCCTTCTCTATCCATGGCCAAATCCTGAATAAGATTAAAATCACCACCTATTATACATGTATGACCTTCATTATTAAATTCTTGCAGTATTGAATTAAAACCATTAAAAAAATCTACATGCTCTTTTTCATTGTTGGATGCATAAATATTGGCTATAACAAAAATGTTCTTGTATATTTCAACTTTGATACATAAAAAGCGTCCTACTTTATCTTAGTGCTGTAGCCCGGAAGGCTTACCGGGTTCCAACCCGCCGGGTTGAGCATTTCGGGCCGGACCAGTTCTGGGCAGAACTGTAGCCAGAATTAGATCTAGATCAACTCGGTAACAAAACCCGGCAGTAAAAAAGAGTTTTTAAATAGCTCATTGTTCGTTATTACATCATTACCTTATTCGTTAATTCCATCACCAAAATACTTCCTGACAAGCGGATTTAATTAGCAAACAAGATAATTATTGGGGTCCATTCTCTCTCTTATTCCCATGTCTCTCTCTGCCTTAATTCTTAACCAAAATTGAACAAAAAGATTTAGCCCAGATTAGAAGAAAAAAAGAAGAAAAAATGATAAGTTTGTGAAATGTTGATAGTCTTTAGAGATGAGAAGGAAAAAGTTATCTTCATCATCATTCATCATCATTCTTCCTTCCATCTTAACCTTTTTGTGTTTTAAACCTTTTTCCCCCCTCAAATCAATTTGATCTTCTTTCTTTAAAAAAAATAAAAGTACAGAATTATTTACGTAATGTAGCTTTTCTCATGTTTTCTTTTCTTTCTTAAGTTTCTTTCATTGAGTCTCTCGATCCCCCCAAAAATTCATTCACATCTGATATATCTCTTTCACTATCATGTCACAGAAATTTAGAATACTGTCAAAGATTAATGCATGCCAGACAGCTTGGGCCCAGCTGGGTGTAACATTACACCGCGGTTTCTTTGAACAGGGTTCAAAGGTTCAAAGGATCAACAAGCAGCCTTTGTCCTGCTATGCGCACATTGCAAAATATATGTAAATATTGGTTAAGCTATATCATGTGCCTTACATGTGATTATTGTTTTTAATTGGCAGACAAACGGACCAATCATAGTAGAGCATGTTGTATGGGCACTCTGACAGGGAAATGAGCTATTTTTAGGATGCCTACATACATGTAGCTAGCCTTACATGTATGCTTCATCTTTTTAGGGAGTGGATTAAGGGTGATAATTTATGCTGACCTGGGACTTATGTCTGGACTCACAGACAGCATGATAAACAAAATAAAGCGATGTGCCATCCATTCAGGACAAGGTTGGTAGATCACACAAGATGTGTTTGTAGTAGCTTTCAAATAGAATCTAGTCAATATTATTTCAGTCCAACTCTCACCGGGTTACCGGACCTTTCCAGGTCCCGTTAAGAAATGTGGAAAATTGCCGGGTCGGGCCGGGTCCGGGTTTTGGGTTCCGAGCTACAGGACTCCTTTATCTTTGACTGAGTCAATAAGTTTAACGTCCGAAGTTCTTCTCAATATTATACACACTCCTCTGCTCATGGATGTTCCGTGGCTGAATATTATGTTTTATCTGATTTGATTTCTCCACAAGATTTCGTCCTTTTCGGTGGAATGTGTTTCCTGTAGTAAAGTTACATCCTTTTTTAATTTTAACAGGAAATTGAAGTATCGCTTCCTAGCCTTGAAGTCCCCTAATCCATTTACATTATGCGTCATTAATTTCAAATCCATTGTCCATCATGTAAGCATCAAATGTTGGTCCCACTATTTCAAACAAAAAACATAAACAGTTACAATAGGAAAAAATGCACACAAAAGGTGTGCATGAGGTTGTTCCACCAGCCTCTTTCATCGTAGCTCCAGCGACGCATCGCGCTGTGAAAAAATGGTCTGATATAACCCTCCTTGTTCAACAAACTTAATCAAAAGTGCCTTTTGTTGCTTTATCATCTTGCTCTTTCCTTACTTGTTGCTTTAATTCTTCTTCTTTCTGTTGACGGTGTCTTTAATTTTCAACCTTTCTTATACTCCACTTCCTTCTGTGTTTGCTTGTCACGGTAGAAGAGCCTTGCTGGATATTTGAAGTAAGCCCTTCCGTGCTCTTCCTTCAGCTTCTGTCTGGTATGTGACATCTTCTTGCGTAGGTCTCTTATCTCCTTAGGTAGCATTTCATCAATTAAAATGGGGTTTTCCTTGTCCTCATACACAAAAGGTTTGTTTTTTAGGAGTTTTCTGGCACTTGCGAGGATGGCACTTCTGACCGTATACCGATTGAAAGCCACCATTATGGGGCGAGGAGCCTCTCTTTTACGTGCCTGCCCGGAGCGATGCGCTCTCTCTATATGTAGGTCTTGCCCCTGCATATCCAGATGTGACTCTGCAAAGGACTGGATTAGCCCTTCACAATTTCCTTTCTCACAGCCCTCAGGGAAGCCAAAGTAAACAGCTGTGCATCTCATTTCTCTAGCTGCAAGATCAACAAAACGTTCCTTCATTCTTTGATTTTCTTTCTCAAGCTCTTTTACTCTGTCTTTTGTTTCATTTATCTCAAAATCATTGTGCTGTTGTTTGTCTTTCAATTCGTCGATGTCTTTCCTGTTTTCGCCTATCTTCTGCAGAGCCACATCTAGTCTGTATGTCAAGTTATTATTCATTTTGTCCACTTTACTGTTTGTATATTGTCTATTTTGTTAATAATCCTGATAAGCAATTCCTTTGTATCATTAGCTGCGGTGTTACTTGCCTGATCTCCATTGCTGTTTGTTCGTCGTTTCTTGTCAACATGGTCCATCATACTTTTGGCAGATTCCACGCCCAGAGCTTCGGGGATAGATTTATCGATGTGACCGGCAGGTACTTCACTCATACTTTGAGTATCCATTTTGTCCCCGCTACTGTCCATAATTTCTGCTTCTTTATCTGATTTGTCTCCAGGTTGTTCAAAGTATTTAGCGATGGTATTTGGGTTCTCTAAGATCCTTTTCCTAGCAGACATTTCTGCTTTTTTTCCTCGGGGTTTTCTCACATCGCAAAAATGCATGTTGTCTCTAGAAGTGCGCCATCTTGAGCCCACGGCGAATTATTTGCGCACTGGCGGAGGCCTTGCGAGTGCTGTTAATCAGTTATTCAAAATCAAAATGGCCGCCAACGCATACCTGTCTACAATGGCCACTATTTGAGTATTTTGAATATAGAACCTTGAAACCACCAACGAAGCAAAATAATTATAAGCTCTCAAAATGAAAACTGATGTTAATATGTGATTGAATATCAGCTGTTCAGGTTTAGTGATTTTCTAGTGTGCTTTGTATTTCTTTTTGTTTGCACCCCCAAACCAATGAATAACTCCCTCGTGCATGAGGCGGGATCATGTGAATTACCCTTGTATTTTAGCTTTTGACATTTAATCTTCTGTTTGTTCTTTGGAGAGATCTCATTTTAGGATTTCTTTATAGAAATCTAGACTTCTTATGTGTAAGTATGTGAATGGCACAGAGTTTATGTTACCGCATTGATTTATAGTCATTCATGAACTACATGTACTTGTGCAAACATATAGAGAGAGATTAGTGAATGTTATGTATCCAAATTGCCTTCCATGAGTGCTGGTTCATGCATTGTGAAAGAAACGTTGTGGAATCGATCAGAAAAGGTTGATCAGCTAGCATATAAGTATTGTGTGTACTGCAAGGTTCTCGAATCATCAAAATGATAAGAAATTTGTCCCAGTCTTCGTAAAGTTACAAGCACTGTACACAGAAAGATGTATATGGGACTACACACAAGTGCACGACACATGCGTTTATCTCTCACAGTCCAATAGATAAACTAATTTACCAAATATATCAATTAGTAGGCGGTTTCCCAGCAAATTTTTTATCATCATGTATTAGTCAAAACATATTCTTTCACATGATTGGTAATGAGAGCTTCCATTTCATTTTTTGAAATTGGGGCGTTTCCAATACTGGTCTTTACCTTTACAGCAGTGATGAGGAAAACTGTTAATGATGCATTAACCAAGTATGCAGAGCTGCCAACATTGGAAACAGTTGAGAGTGAGATTATACGAGAAGTGTTAGCACGAGGGAGCGAAGCGACCAAGCCCGACCGAGCGCAGCGAGGGAATGGGGGAGGGGGCGTCCCCCCTCCCACAGTGTGGAGCTTTTTTTATTTTTCAAGGTGAAATTGTGTGATCTGGTGCATACTTTATAGAGTATTTTAACATTATAGCTAAAGGCAATATGGAGAGAGAAAATCATAAAGACTAACAGAAGGATAAAGAAAATTATTAACATGGAATACCTGATTGTTAGCCCACGAACGTGGGCCGCTGGGCTAGGTGTAGATCGAGGTGCTGGGGCCCCACGCGCTCACTCTCTGAGACAAAGCCACAGGCAAGTTTTCGTTCAACGTTACATAATCACAAGTCATTTTTCACTCTCAAAACTCACTTTATATTTTTATAATCCCTCTCATTCTATTCTAATGTATGAAGTAATAGTAGGCCCTCTTTAAAAACAAAACACAGAACCTTGAAATCTTTGCTGTTCTCGATCAATTGAATTGTTAACTGTTACCGTGAGGATGTACTCGAGCTCGCTGCTGGTTCGTCCAATCCATATTCGGGGTTGGGGCAGGCTCGCGCTGACCCGGCTAGCTGCTAATGATTATGGGTATGGTGCGAGGGTACATCATCAGGCTAGCTAGCTATATAGGCGCCGATCTTACACATCACGCACACGTGTGCGTGAGGAAAATCATTGAGAGCGTGAGAATTGAGTTAAATGCCTGAGTCTCACGCTCAATGCGTGAGTGTTGGCAGCCCTGAAGTATGTGAATAAATATGTCATTAATATTTTATATGAAATATCCTTCGTATTTTTTATACTGTTGTAGGTTTATCACCATCATCTCGTGTTGAAGATTTAACCAGTTCTTCAAACTCCTCTCAGTTAGATTTCCTGATAGTGGATCACCATGGACCAAAGAATGGTAAGAGGCCAAGAAATGTAATTGTCATTTATTATATCCGTATTGATTTGATTTAATTTGTTTGTCTGCTAGCCACAACTGTAGTAACAAGTAAGTTTCAATGAGCCCTTCCCAATAATAACTCTTGTAAAGCAACAATTTCTTGAATAAGATATAATTTTTTTTATAGAAGTAATTATTAAATTTGGTACATGTATATTTTATTTATCTTTGTAATTTTTATTGTAAAATGTTTTCTTGGTAATCCTGTAATCTTCTTGTAATGCAGACAATTGATCATATCTGATTATTTTGATATTGGTGCATTGTTATTAATTTTGTGTTTATCTATTTTTTCAAATGTTAGTTGTAACTGTGAATTCAACTGGTCAGGAACTACAAGTCTATTTTTTGTCACTCAGTTATGTTCACCAAGTTTCAGGATTCAAGTTTTGGGAAGATGTAACATAAGTTCTGTTGACTTCACTCATTGATCATCACTTGAGTGATTAATTGATGATTAAAGTGCTTATGTTGCTGTACTAAAATATACCATATATTTGTATCATGTATCATGTTAATTAATCCAATAATCTTCTCTTATGTATAGTTGAAGATGTAAAGGCAGCTGCCAATGAGTTGCCCAGAGGCGCTGTTGGTGGTATTGTTAATGATGAGGATCACCAGATGGAGCATTCTATTGGGATTCCAGGACCTCTCCCTATGATGCCTCCTGGACAGCTTCCATTGTCTTCTGTCTCTGTGGATAACATCCCTAAAGGAATGGAGGCTGGGTGTTCACCTAGGAGAGCTCAGTCAGAGGGCTGCATAACACATCAGGTCAGTTAATCTCATAATACTTCTTTACAAAATAACTACAGTCAAACCTGTCTATAGCCGACCTCGTGATATCAAGTTTCCCTGTAGTATAGTTCATTGCCATTTGCTAGGCTCCTTGTAATTTAATCTTTCTGACCCATTCATACATCAACAATCCTCCTCTAGGACAAATTTATAGGATCATCGATCACTGGCTGCAATGAGCAGTAAGCTGTGCTGCTAGGTACTCTTGAACGAAATTATGATTGATTTTTTGTTGTTGATCCATATAAACATATGCATCCTTTGGAAATATCTTTTATATTCTGTAGAATGAAATTCTTCTGATTACAAATTACATTATCTGTTGGATATGAACTTTTTAATGCTGATGGACATGTGTACCTAGCCTTGTGGATTAATTTATAGGGCAAAAAACATGCAGTAATTGTAGTATTTACTGTAAAATTAACTGTTTCTCCTGGAGGACTCAACTTGGTATTGGACTCCTATCTTCACAACTGGTCCCATATATTCACTTGTATGGTTGTTAAGTTTGCTTATATGCCAACCAGTACAATATATGCGCCTGGAAAATCTTCTTTAACAACCTTTTGAGAGCTTATTTTGTGACTAATCACCCATTGATATCAGCTTATACAGACACCAAAGACTCTGAGCTCTATTCAAGCTAAGGTGCTTGGGTTGAATAACCCTATTGAAAGTAAGTGTCCCGTCCATTGACTTCTAGCTTTATTCCATAAGCTGAAGTATTAAGAGCCATGCCACCTAAAGGGAAGAAATCTGAGAGAATCATGGCTGCTGCTTCTTCTGATGTATACCCTACTGATCATTGTGACCAGATCGGCGAGGAAGTTAAGGACTACTTCAGAAGTCTCGAGTTTCGGGACCTGTTCCAGGCATCGCTTACTGATGCAATCATGAAGCAGATGACGGAGCTTCGGGACAAGCTGGAGAAGGCTGAGGGAAATATACTCAAGCTAGAAAACGATGTCAGGGAAAAGGCAGCCATCATAGATCATCTCCAGGAGAAACAGTCGCGCATCATCGGAGACATCCGTGCACTTCATCAAGGACTGAATGATGCAGAGCAATACTCACGCAGGAACTGTGTAAGACTCTATGGAATCCCAGAGCAGTCCCATGAGAATACCGATGCCTTGACGCTTGACCTCGCCATCAACGATCTCCAACTCAATCTGAGAGCTGAGGACATCGATCGTTCGCATCGAGTAGGTCTTCCGCATCAACCTACGAGAGGGAAAGACAGCAAGTCACTCCCACCAAGACCCATCATAGTGAAATTCACCTCTTATCGCGCCCGCAATCTCATGATCAGGAATCGCAAACTGCTGAAAGGAAAAAGAAAGGGGGTTGAGGAGGACCTGACAGCAGCAAATAGACTTCTGTTGAAGGAAGCGAAAAAGGAGGTTGAACAGAACAATAGGCTGAATGCCGCATGGTCATCAGATGGAAGGATAATTGTATTGACCAAAGCTACCAATGGGAAGACGACAAGAAAGATAATACATTCCGTGAGTGAACTGGCAAACTTGTGAAAACTGATATACATTAAACTGACTACATGCAAATATGATATTTTTCATATTCTATGCCTATGCCCTTTGATTAATTACAGATCTTTTTGTAATTATCTTCGTTATTTTTACTGTATTTATGTTTTATTAACTACTTATTGAAAGTTAATTTGTGAATGTGCGAATGAGTGTATGTGTTCATTGTGGTATCTCTTCTTCCTTCTTTCCAACTCATTCATGGTTATGCACTCAATGTATTTCTAATATTTTTCCATTCAACCATATAGATGATGATAATGAATTTTATTGGACTATGTACGACTTTTTCCATTTAAATAGGAGAATTGATATTGACAAGTTATTACAATTGAAATTAAACCCATTTTGTATGAATAAATATGATGTGCATAGCCTTTTTGATTTAGATCTTGAACTTAAAAATTCATGTCAATACACATTTTGTGAAGAATTTAGTCTAAAATTTAGTAAATTGAATTCTAAACTGTCACTTCTCCATTTGAATGCTAGAAGCCTAAAGAAACATTTTGATGAATTACAGATTGTTCTGTCATCTCTTCAATTTGAATTTGATATCATTGCCATAACTGAAACTTGGTTCAATTCTTCTACAAATATTAATATGTATAACCTAGACGGATATTTTCTTGTTTCTAAGTGTAGACCCTCAAAATCTGGTGGCGGAGTTGCACTATATTTGAAAAATAATCTCAATTACAAAGTACTACCCGAATTTACTTATTCTGAATGCAATTATGAAACTATATTTGTTGAAATAAGTAAGAAACCTAAACCTATAGTTGTTGGTTGCGTTTATCGTCCACCAGATTCTGACATATCTTGTTTCAATGAGAAAATACAAAGTGTTCTTGAAATACTGGAAAGTGAGAAGAAAGACTTATATATTTTAGGGGACTTTAACGTAAACTTGCTTAATTATGGTATCCATAATAAAACAAATGACTTTTTAGATATGATGCTTTCTTTTAATTTACTTCCCTTAATAACAAAGCCAACTCGCATTACTGAAAATAAAGCATCCTTGATAGATAACATATTTTCAAATACCATACAGGAAGAAAAATATACAGGACTCATTTATAGTGATCTATCTGATCATTTTCCAGTATTTTCAATTGCAAGTGAAAGAATTGTAAAGAATGGTAACAAATACATAAAAAGACGCATTATTAATGATTCATCAATGTCAATGTTTAAAGAAAGTTTATCAACCATTGACTGGTCAGAGGTCTATACTTGTGAAAGTGCAAATGACTCTTATGATATCTTCTTTACAAAATTCTATTCCAATTATAATAACTGTTTTCCTATTCAATTAGTCAAACAACTCAATGGTAATTTACGGAAACCTTGGATTACGCAAGTAATATTGAATTCAGTGAAACGTAAACATAGATTATATGAAAATAGCTTAAAAAGACCTAGTGTCAATCATAAAAGAAAATATTTAGATTATAAAAATAAATTAACAAATATCATAAGAGCGTCAAAGAGGAAATATTACGAGTCTTTGTTTTATAACTTAAAGAATGATATGAAAAAAACATGGTCGCAGATCAATATGATACTTGGCAAAAAGAAACAGAATAAACTACCTCAAAATATGTATCACGGAAATATAAAAATGAGTAGTAGGAAAGATATTGCAAAAGAGTTTAATACATTTTTTATTGACATAGGTAAACAACTATCAAAATCGATTCAAACACCTAATTACTCTTATGATAAATACCTTGTTAACCCAAATTTAAATTCATTTTATGTTAAATCAACAAGTATTCATGAAATTATCAAACTGTCTTCTCTGTTAAAAATAGATAAGTCAAGTGGACCTGACTGCATTTCACCTAAAGTTGTTAAAAATTGTATTCATTTTTTTGTTAATCCATTGTGTGACATATTTAATAAATCTTTAAATAGTGGAATCGTCCCAGATAAATTAAAAGTTGCCAAAATTGTACCCTTATACAAAAAAAATGATGTTAAAAATATAGAAAATTATAGACCCATAGCCTTGCTTTCTGTTTTTGCAAAACTGTTGGAAAAAGTAATGCATAAAAGGTTATATGATTATTTACTGAAATATAATGTTCTTATTTCAGAACAGTTTGGTTTTCGTAAAAACCATAGCACTGATCTGAGTATTGTGAATTTTACTAAAAATATTCTACATGAAATTAATAATGGAATGTTTTGTTATGGATTGTTTATGGATCTATCTAAGGCATTTGACACCATCGACCACCATATTTTACTTAAAAAACTGTACCATTACGGTATACGCGGTATACCTCATCAGTGGTTTTCTGATTATTTGTTTAATAGAAAACAATATGTGGTGGTCGATGGTGTCGAATCTGATTATATGGATGTAAATACTGGAGTTCCGCAAGGATCGGTTCTCGGACCACTTTTATTTATCATATATATTAACGATATAATCAGTTCATCCAAATTACTTATGTTTTCATTATTTGCTGATGATACGGTTGTATATTATTCTCATTCTAATGTAGCATGCTTAGTTTCTAATTTAAATGAAGAGTTAATAAAATTGAATGATTGGTTTAAATGTAATAAATTATTTTTGAATTATGAAAAAACAAAATATGTAATTTTTCACACAAAGAAAAAGAAAGTTCCAAATGTCACCAATCCTGTTAAAATAGCGAATGTAAATATTGAACGAGAACTAAGTGTTATTTTTTTAGGTACTAATATTGAAGAAACTCTAGATTGGAAATGTCATATTGATTATGTTTGTTCTAAAATTTCTAGAAGTATTGGTGTTTTATCTAGACTAAAGAATTTTCTCCCAAGGAAGATATTAATGAATATTTACAATGCAACACTTCTTCCCCACTTAAATTATTGCAATATCATTTGGGGTAATACTTACAAAACAAAACTGTTCAAGATTTATATGTTACAGAAACGTGCAGCTCGGTTAATAACAAATAGTCATTATATGTCTCCAAGTTTACCATTATTTATTAAACTGAAAATTATTCCTGTATATGATTTGATCAAACTTAATACATGTATATTTATGTTTAAATTTCATAAAAACCTGTTACCATCTGTTTTTAATAATATGTTCCAAACAAATTCTTCTGTTCACAATTACACCACTCGTCAACGTCTAAAATTACATCACCCACTCTGTCGTTCAACTTTAATGTATAATTCTATATCATTTGTTGGGGTACGGGAGTGGAATTCCTTGAATTATGACCTAAGATCCAGTTCTACAATTACCAGATTTAAATCAATGTATAAAAAAATTATTTTTCAATCCATGCTTGAGTAAGTACTTCTCTTTCCCATCTTTTTTCTACTTTTATCTCTTTCTGCCCTATTTTCGCTTCCTTCTATTCTTTCTCTGTAACCTTTATGAACGTGCGTGTGTGTTGATGTACGGGTGCGTACTTGTATTATTTAAGTCCTTTACTTTGTATTGTTAATTTATGTGCATTATCTTGTTATTGTTTGTTTGCAGGGCCCCGATTACAAGCAGATTTCTGCTTCTTAGGGGTCCTAACCATTATATTGTATATTGTATATTGTATTTTCATTGTAAATTGTTTTTATACTGGTTAAATAAATGAAATGAAATGAAATGAAATGAAAAGGTATTATGCTTGAGATACCATTTACCTCAGCTTTGGGTCTACAGTCAATCAAATAGAATTTTGTTCAGTGGATTTAAGGGAATGATATGATAAAAATAAACACAATGGATCACTCCTTGGGTTGAATACAGAAGAAAAAAAGGCCTTTGTTTTTAAAACAGTCTATATGAAATTTGATATATGTGTACAATACATACATGTATATGAGTGACCACAAAATGACTATCAGCTATATATCTTTAACATTCCAATTATGCTTTGATTTGTTTATTCAGTCTGAGGGTTCATCAGGTGTTGGTGTCCCCATAATGACCCAGCGATGGCCTACAGAGGATGGTGGCTTCTTACTAGTTCAGCAGTTCCGTGGTGATGGAGAGCCCGCCATGTCAAGGTCATCTAGCTTCTCTGACCTCTCCTCTAGCTTATCATACCCTGGTGGACGAAGTAAGTTCAAGTGTACCGATGGCCTAAAAACATAATTTGTGTACATGTAGAATGAATCAAATCAGCTTCATAAAACTTTACCTGGCATTCTACAGGTAACCATTTAAGGACTATGAAGGAAAGAAAGGCAGTCTACTCAAGAAGATGCACTTGAACTGCATTTTCTCTTGTAGAAGAACTATTTGAAGCTCATAGTTAGACTTCAGTATATCAACATGGAAACCCTTACATCAAGAGCAAAACATGTTTTGTGGTTGGTACTCTTTTAAATTTTTCATCCACTAATCTCTCATTAGACTTCTATTCCAAACCCACCATTATCTCCCAGGGGGTTTCCCATACAACAGGACACCTGAAGTGTAGGGAAAGGAGGCACCTTGTATTGTTTATTCTAATTAATCAGTATAGCCGCTATTTTTTATGAATTTTTTTCAGATTTTTTCTGACTTCTGCTATTACCATTGTTTTGAACAATACTGAGTTAATTAGTTTGTTGCCATATATCTAAAGAACAATGACAGAGATCATCAACAGATACGCAAAGGTGGTATTTAAGATAATGTTGATGCAAACTAGTTTACTGACTATCCAATGCTGTACTTATTTTGATGAAAATAGTCTGTCTCTTTAAATGTTTTCAGTTCTTAATACAGACAAGTGATGCCAATGCCTACCCAGGTCAAAATTCCTTCAAATTGAGCAAGCCCTCTTTGACATCTATAAAGAGAGTGGTTACTACAATCTTATATACAGAGAGAAAAAAAAGATTTTGTGAAACAATGTTGCTTTGAAGGTTTTCATACTGAAGACATCTTTTATGTCTTGTAATGTACATCTTGTAACTCCCTAGCTAGGAAGTTCCAGTTATATTGCAAAGGTTCTACTTTGTGAGAAATGGGTCAATGGATTGAAAGATGGTCCTTGAACAGGAATGTCCTAGGCTTGAAACTGTTTTGATGCAACTAGGACCTTAGAACAAGCATTAACCCTCTATTTCTAAATCCCATTGACAGGACTTAAAGCTATATGTCCACTAGTTACTTACCTAGAGGCTTATACTTGTACTTGCTTTCTATTAGCAGTTGGTAAAGTTAAAGATAACAGCAGATATCATGACTTACACATACCTGCCAACTACTATGATTTTGGCGTAATTATTACGATTTTTTGTTTTAAATTACGCCTTACGATTTTGTGTCACAAAATTAAGATTTTTAAAATATTTTTTAATTTTAATTTTTATTTTATTTTTATTTTATTTATTTATTTATTTATTTTTTATTTTTTTTGCCCGTTCACCTGGCACTGTCCAGGCTGACACTTAACTGTGCCCGGGAGAGCACCGGCATGGTACCATGGATAAAAATGTTTCACAGCTCGATCACTGTCAGCTCACCACTCAGAAAGTGAGACTAAATGTTCGGATTTCTGTTTGGACTCAGAGGAAAATTAGTCTGTCATCTTTGGTTTTAAAAACAGCATTGTTTACTATTATTATTATTATAAAATCAGCGCCTTCAACTGCAACTCAAAGTAAAATCACATGAGTTTTCGGTGACGGACCTGGGACACATTATTATTCAAGTATTATTCGAGTATTCGCCATTAAAGCTTAAGACCAGTTATGGTCATGCAATTGCATAGTGAAAGAAACGTTGTGAAAAATCGATCAGAAAAGGTTGATCATCTAGCTTTGATGTACTGCAAGGTTCTGGAATCATCAAAATTATAAGAAATTTGGCCAAGTCTTCATAAAGTTAGAAGCACTGTACACAGAAAGATGTATATGGGACTACACACATGTGCGTGACACGTACATTTGTATCTCTCAACAGTATATAGATATACTAATTTACTAAATATATCAATTAGTAGGCGGTTTCCCGTCAAAATTGTTATCGTCATGTAATATTCAAAACATATTCTTTCACATGATTGGTAATAAGAGCTTCCATTTCATTTTTTGAAATTGGGGCATTTCCAATACTGGTCTTTACCTTTAAGCCTGGGAGTTTACTTGAGTACATCATTACACGCTTATGCACAGCCCTTTATTTTTCTCCTCCAGGGTCTATTTCATCAGGGGAATTTTGAGCTCTTAGTCCTTGTTTTGGTGTTTTTTTTGTGGGAAGGGGGTTGCATAAGTGTTGAAAAATGAGTTTAAAGTGAAGGAAAAGGGCATTCCTACATGTTGAAAATACAAAAAGCTCCCTACCATGGGAGGGGGGACAGCCCTCTCCCACACCCACCCCCCACTCGGAGCTACAGAGCTTACAGAGACAATCCTTCTTTCGGTCACACTTCCCCCAGGAATCCCCACCAACAGCATCTCAAGCCTACATCATCATAGCAGTGAGTCATCCTCCAGTGAAGCCTCCCATTACAACAGTGATACTTCTAATGATGCCCTCCCAGCTAACATGACAGTCAGTGGGATCAAGCCTGGTATCAGACAGTATCTTCATCAGCGGGATGAGACTCTGAACAGCAAACTTACAATGGGAGCTATGATCGTTATAGCTACAGCCTTTGCTCTCGTCCTGGGACACTACATAGGTATGTGTGTACATACGCACAAAAAAAATATTGGAAAAGTAGGTACTGTATTTATTAAAAAGTTCTGAAATTCAAGATTGAGCATTGTTATGTCTCTTGTTACTATTTTATCATATTTGATGTTTTTGACATATTTGATGTCCCCTTTACAATAATGCCCCATTCGTAATGATTGTGTAATCATGGACTGTGTAGTATACCTGAATATAGGGCCAAGTCAAAAAGTAAAATGTTGCAAAATGCATTCTGTGTTACTCCTTCAAAACACAATCCGTCTTCCAAACAAATGAAGAATTCACTATTGACATTATCAATGCATTTTGCAATGTTTCATGTGTGACTTGTCCCCATATTCAGGTGTACTACACATTCCATGATAACATAATCATTATAAAGGAAAATAAACAGGCTTTTTAATGTTACTAACCTCACGTGCGATGATATAATAACGATTTATCAACCCTAAAACTTGAATTGCAGAACCTTTTTATTAGGGATTTATTTCAATATTCATGTCAGTTTATCATACAATGCAAATAAAAGGTTGAACTTTGCTGAGGCATAATTAGATTTAATTAAATTAGATTCAAGGTTTTCAGAAGGTTGAATATATGTGTACCGGTAGTATCATGTATTATACAGTATATGCTGTAAATTTCAGCTTGAAAAGTAAACACCATCAGTTTTTAGGTCAAGTTTAAGAGTAAAAAATCTTCTCTTTTATCAAATTATAAAAACTCATAGAGGTCAACAATTTTGTTTTGTTGATTTTGCTGTCGATATAATACTGAGTGAATTACAGATAACCTTGCGTAAGTCAATCTCGACGGGGACTTAGTAAAATCGACTTAGGCGATCTTTAACTTGTGCGTAAGTCTTAGAAATTTGCTTAATGCATAATTATGTAATAAGTATGCAATACGAAGCCTAGCCAGTCTGCAGCAAGCAACATAATAATGCACTTCGTTGTATAAATCCATGCAAACAAAGTTCCTTTATCTGTGTGTGTGTGTGTTGTGTGTACATCGCGGGAAATAGCGCATATAGCAGTGATTATATATGCTAAAGCAGGAGTCCCAAGATATAAACAATGGAAAATTTGCAGCACGAGAACCGACAAGACAGAGGGAGAGACGAGGGAGCTACATGTACATGCTATATGTAGATAAAATAGGAAGGGTGCTCGGATTAAACACGATCCTATCATAGTATTTTTTTTAATTAAGAAACAAAACCAGCAATGTCGACTCGAAAATGATGGACTAGTTGCTTAAATAAATATTTTACAATATTCATGAACATGAAAGTCTAATCAGTCAATGAATCATAAATAATTAAATACCAAAAAGGTAGAAGAATGAAACCAAATATGAAAAAGGAGCACAAAGTTATTCAATTTTAAAGTGCATGATCATCCAAAAAATATTCTCTTTAAGATCGAGGGAGTACCAAAAAAAAAAGTCAGACTGAACGAGAATGAGTCTTAACTTACTCTCATTTAAATATAGAAAATTATAATAGTAAAATATAATAAACTCAGGAGAAGTGCCCATGAAAATATTGTGAGCTTTAAAAATAGAAAGCTTGTTGTAAATATTCATGCCATAAAATATTAGAAATCCGGCCAAGCTAAGATTTCGTAACATTCCTTACCTTTTTCATTACCAAAGAAATATCCTGAATATTGCTCAATCGGAGCACGTGTAAAAAATATAAGACCATGCCGTAACGCCACCTCGTGGCCAAACATCAGCCACTTAACAAGCCCTGGTAAATTTCCATGCAGCAGCCACCTCAAGAAACTCTGAAATTGTGATCTATTTCCATCATGATTGCCACAATTTGTTAATGGTTTCTGTGAATAGAGGTGTGAAATCAAAGATAGGATTGTGATTATTCTGGCCATACCCGGTATACTGAATTTCGATAATCATTTTGAAAGTAAATTTTTTACAAGAAAATCTGAGAAAATCATTAAGATAATTCAGTTACACGCGGCCCTGAGACCACACACAGCGCTTACAGTGTAACTGCTGTCAGAACCGCGAGAGTCAAAAAGACGTGGAATCGACTCCAGCCTAGCTTAGCTCTAAGTGCCTTGCAAAACTGTGTGAAACTGCTATCTGGTTTCATCATTATTGCTGCGATTTCAATTTAGTTTCAGGAATAGAGGTATATAATCGAAGCTTGGATTGATTATTCTGGCCATGTATATCGAATTTTGATAATCGTTTTGCAAAGTAAATTTTTCACAATGAAGTCTAACTTTGAGACGGTGTGAAAGATATCGGGGGGGGGGGCAGAGTGAGAGGGAGATAGAGAGAGGCAGGTACGAGAGAGAGAGAGGGAGAGAGGTGGATACGAGAGAGATGGAGAGAGAAGAACAGAGGAGCCCGCGCCAGCAAGTCTGGAAAAACTAGGGCATCAAGGGCGTATTGTGTAAACAATATTGTGTGCAATGCGTGATTTAACAGTGATTGATTTTGTTAGACTTTGGTAATGTGAATTTAGTGTTTTTTCATTGGAACGGTCCTGAGAATTTGAATTATGATTTATGAAAGATTGTGGCTTTTTATTCTTGTCGACTAAGGCAGTTATTTGACATCTACGAGGTTGACTTGTGCGAGGTCGACTGTATTATGTACAATACAGGATTTAGGCATGCCTCATCTCATCATCGGAGGTCAAAGGTTACTATTGGTTGTTGTTCACCTACAGTAGATGTTAATCATCCCGTTTATTTTTCCTACACAGGATCTATGCAGGCTACATCACACCACCTTGGTATTGAAGCGGGTCAGGTGTGGAGACTACGTTCTCTCCAGGACCAGCTGGTTACCTGCCTTGATAAGACCAAGACTTTGCTGAGAGCAACCAAGGGATCCACTGGAATCTCTCCAGCCAAAGCCACCAGTCCTCTGGGTACGTTCATACTATAGCATATTTAAAGAGGTAGTTGTGACACAGGTGTACACACTCAACTATGGTTCATCGCTCTGCCACACAAGCTCTTGACACTAAGAGGATCCAAGCACAACTGACCTTATAGAGTACTTAATGAACTCAATATTTTAGTAGTTGTTTATTAGAGGTGTAGCATGATCCCTTGATTTGAACGATTCCTTGAATTTACCTCTTAAATTCAAAGCTAATTAATGTAGAGCCCCGTTTATACAAATAATGAGAAAAAATGACAAACTTAAATTCTTGTTCAAAGTTTTAAAAGAATCTACTGTGGTATTGTGTGCATTATAAAATAATTTTAGGTAAATGTAGTTGTTATGGACCATGGATTACAAGGAAGCAATGCATTGAATAATTATAATGTCATTTTAAATAGGACTTCTGTTGCAAGCACATATTTCAAACTTTCATTTCTAGCAATTCACTTTGAAAAATATGTATTTTTCAAAATTTCATTCCCCTGTGTAGAAAATTGTTAAAATGGAAAGCAAAGGTATTCATGATTATGTATATTTCATGTTTTTCTTGGTTTCTTTATGAATTGAACAGACTCCCAACCATCTGCAAGGTTATCAGCCCCACCAGATGATGGGATCCAACAGTCTGATCCAGAAAGTCATGTCTCATGCTTAGTTTGTACCAGTGGGAACCAACCACAAGATCGCTACTCAAAGTTCTGCAACACTCATTGTAAATACAAAGATGGAAGAGATTTTAAAGAGCCTTTATCTAATAGTAATGATGTGTCAGATAATGTGTTAGAGTTAAGTCCTATCGATGGTAATTCTCTTGATATTGCTAATATAGGTAGTGATATGACAGGTGAATCTATGTCTGATGTCCATACTGATACACAAGGTGAACCAGAGGCACAAGGAACTGATACAGAGACCAAGTCTTTGACTGATGATGAAGGTATTACAGAGGCAGCTGTGTATATAATGCCTCTTTCAGACATGGAACCAGTCTATCATGATGGTGTTTTGATCTTAAGGGAGGAATTATTGTTGGATAGAAAACATGCTTTAGAAGCTAAATATGAAGAAGGGGCAAAAAACTTTCAAGAGATGCTAGGAGAGACGGAAATAAGTCATGAAGGTGGATCTGCTTATGAAGTGGATTCTGCAAGCATTGAAAAATATATTGTACAGTCTGTAGCTGATTTGGAGACTGAAGATACAAAAATGGAGGGATCCCAAAACCAAGGAGAAGAGAAATCACAAGACCAAGGAGATGAGAAGTCACAAGACCAAGGAGATGAGAAATCACAAGACCAAGGAGATGAGGATTCACAAGACCAAGGAGATGAGAAATCACAAGACCAAGGAGATGAGAAATCACAAGACCAAGGAGATGAGGAATCACAACACCAAGGAGACGAGAAATCACAAGGCCAAGGAGATGAGGAATCACAAGACCAAGAAGATGAGGAATCACAAGACCAAGGAGATGAGAAATCACAAGACCAAGGAGAAGAGAAATCACAAGACCAAGAAGAAGAGGAATCACAAGACCAAGGAGATGAGGAATTCTTTGATAAAAGAGAAGCCAAGTTCTCTGATTCATCAAGCAATTTAACCGAGGACGATGATGTTGGCTCACATGAAGAGACATCAGAATCACCAGATGATAGAGACTTTATGGGAAAGCTTACTTCCAAGTTCAGTGACTCATGGTTTATCCTCAGAAACTTCACCACTGATTTCATCGGCTCTGCCACAAACCTCTCAGTGAACAACGTCACGACCCAACTCAAGGAAAATGTAGAAACCTTGAGGCACCAGATCAAGGATGCTGTCTCCAACCTTCAAAAATCAAACATCACCTCTCACTTGACGGATAACGTTAACAGCATTGGAGAGCATTTGAAGGACGCAGTGTCTAATATCAAGGAGGGTAATTTCAGCCGTAAATTAAAGGATACCATGCAGGATCTTGGTGGGAAGGTTAAGCAAGCTGTCTCTGGAATCAAGGAATCAAATATCACATCCCAGATCAAGCAAGGTTTGCAGGGCTTAGGTGAAAATATTCAAGGAGCTGTTTCAAGCATCAAAGAGAGTGGTAGTAACCTGAAGAAACCATTCAAGAAGACGATGAAAGCAGTGAAAAACCTCATGGAGGGTAAATCTATCAACAGTGACAAAGAAACAGAGAAAGAGGGATCAGTGCAGGAAGATCTTGTTGAACCCCAAAAGAAGCCTTCTGGTAACAAAAAAAAAGGAAAATCAAGTAGACAGTCATCGGAACAACTTGTAAAACAGAAATCAGAGAAGAAGGAGGCAGCAAAAAATAAAGGGAAAGTAGAATGGAAAAAGAACAAGGCTTCTCAACATGACAAAAAGCACAAGGATGAAAGAAAGACAAATAAAAAACTAAATAATAAAGATAAAGACCAAACCAAGCACCGACAAACAAAAGTTGAGAAAGGTAAATCAAACGATCACAAAAACGGCTTAAAACTGCAAAGGCATGACAAGTCAAAAAATCCTGTAAAGAAACATGTGTCTAATCAGGTTAACCAACATACTGGAACAGATAAGCAAAAGAAGAGAAATAATAAAACAGTGTTGAATAAAAATGATAATGGCAGGAAACACAAATCAAAGGAGACTTCTGGGAATGACCAAGACCCCAAGCACAGACAGGAATATTCAAAAAATAAAAGTGTTCCTTCAAGGAAGAGACAAAGTGACATTGAATTTGAAAATATGAGGAAATTGGAAAAAACAGCTGATTTGGAGCTCCAGTCAGATAAACTAAATGATGGAGAAAATCTTCTCATTAATGAAGAAAGAAGATATCACAAGGATAAAGGGTCACAGAAAGAAAAGCCATTTAATGAGAAGGAACAGGAAAAGAAAAAACATGAATCTAAAGAGAGCATGTATCATCAAGACCATCAGTGGAAACAAAACAATTTCCAAGAAAGACATGATCGCCATGGTCACAAACATGAAGATAAGAAACCCGGAAAACATCATCAAGACAAGGAAGATGATGCCAGGCACAGATTTGAGGACATAGAGTGGGAAGATATTTCCGAGAGCTTTGATGTCCGTTGCTTTGGTGTCCATGACTGCCTGAGGAAGCACCGAGAAGCTGCCGTGAAGTTGTATGAAGAGCTTCTGGACTACAAGGACTGGCTGACCAAGCGCTGTTATAAGAAACATCTTAATGAACTCAAAGACTTCATGGAAGAGCTGGAAGAATTTCTGGCAGAACCGTTTTTGATGGATGCAGATCTAGAAGAGCTCATGGAAGACTTTGAGGACATGGCAGAAGATATTGAGGAAGCAACAACCAAGAACTTCTGGAAGTTCATGAAGTCATGGACACCTCGACATAAAGGAGGTGAGGAGTCAAACTCTAGGGTCCATTCCAGACAAGGATCAAACACAAAGAAACTGTTAGAAGAAGAAGATCAACAGAAAACATTGACTGTAACACTTGACATGAAGCACACATTCAACTTTTCAGAAACTTACGATGATGATGCTTCTGAATCAAAAGACCACAGGAGACATGTAGGGTATGGTTACCAAAGCAATGATGACTGGTTCATTCGCCGAATGCAGGACAGAGAGAACAGAAGAAACATGAAGAATCAGCATGGAACTCCAGAGGATCAGCATACTGAACCAAACAGCAACTGGTATGATCACTGGATGCAGGGAAGGCAAGAGGGCCGCACAGGAATGACCATTTGGGACCTTTATCAGTGGTTTTCAAAGAGACAAGCTTTGAGACATGAATGGCGACTCCATGAAATGGATGACAAGACCAACTGGTTTTTAAAAAGGCCCTAAAAATCAGTATAGATATAGTGGTTATTCTTACTTTTTTCTCAATGCATCTTAAAAATTGGTTCTCTTAATATACTAGATTAAAATCAACTAAAATGCCAACTACACTGTATTTTAATATATATTCCTTTTGTAAACTCGATTGAAAATCTAGATTTTATTTATGACATAAATGAATCTTACATTTTTTTAAAATCAGTTTGTTGAAAAATTGTCTAAATAGTAATCATGATTTTTCATGTTGCCTTAATGTTCAATAAGCATGTTGTTTGTCCAATAATTTATTTTTCTGTATAAAGCTCATGATTCTAAATCACAGTCCATAAATCAGAAAACCGAGTGGACTTGTATATTATCTGAAATAAAATTGTTTTTGCTTCTGAATTTTTTAACATGCTTGTGCACTGCTCACCATTTTAGGCTATTTCTGATATCATAGGAATTGCATTCTTATTCACTGTTTTGGTGCGAATACATTGTGATACATGTGTACATTGTCTTTTGTCCAAGAAAATGGTATTTGAAGATTAAAAAACATTGGATTAAATTTTATCTGCTATATTCTAAATGATTGCATGCTATACATTTTGGTGGTGGAGTATGTAACTGCTGTGTAAAGATCCCGACGATTGTCTACAAGTGCATCCAAAACAAAGCTCCAGTGTATCTTAATTCTCTCATCGTACCCTACCAATCTGCTCGTCCTGGCCTTCGGTCGTGTACTGACAGCACCCTGCTACACGTTCCTCGAACATTCACCAAAGCTGGTGACAATGCTTTTCATGCGTGTGCTCCTCGACTCTGGAATGAGCTTCCACGTTTTATTTGATTAGCACCTTTGCTGGATATCTTCCGAAAATGTCTCAAAACTCTCCTCTTTGACCATGATCAACAATAGATTCTTTGATAACTTTTATGTAAAGCGCTGTGAAACAAGTTAGTTTGTATGAGTGCTATAGAAATGACTTTATTGTATTGTTGTATTGTATCGTAGATAATTATCGAAATGTGTTGATAACAAGTTATCAACATGATGTAATGATAACTTCTAATAGTTAAATGCCCAGAAAAGCAAAAGAGATGATATTTGATTTTAGAAAGGCAAGGGCATCTTGTATTGAACCAAGTCAGATGAATGGTGTAGATATCGTCATTGTTGAAAAATATACCTACCTAGGTATAATCATAGATGACAAATTAACGTCGACAGAACAATGTAAAGTTACAACTAGGAAAAGCACAGCAAAAAATGTATTTCCTATGAAAAATAAAGTCCTTCCATGTGGATTGGACGATTTTGAGTTTGCTTTATGTTTCGATAGTGCAGAGTGTTATCTTCTTCGATTCTATTGTATGGTTTGCGGGTTGTAGAAAAGGGAATCTTGCATAACTGGAAAAAATAGCCAAACATGCAGAAAGAATCACTGGCATAACATGACAAAGCAGGAATTTTTATTTATTTATTTTTTTTGGGGGGGGGGGGATATTGTAAAATCGTAATCATTTGTCCATATAATTTTTATTGATAAATGTGCATAAAGATATGTAACTTAAAAAGAAGCCATTAGGATGAGTTTTTTGTGCAATTTTTTTAGTGAAATGTAATTTTGCATTAGAATATGTACGTAATCAGTTATACAAGTTTATGGAAAGTGCATGATCTACCATCGTTTAAAGGTACTATGTCCCATTTGCAGGTCAAAAAAATGAAAAGGTTAAATTCCAACGGCATTTGAAAGATAATACTAATTTAGAACTTCCCTAAAAAAAGGGGGGGGCTTGAAAATGTCTTTAAGGGGAAAATAACGACTATTAGTTGTCAAATCGACTTCAGAGCTGTAGAGGCCAGTAAGTAATAGTCTGATTTTCAGACCATTGTACCGAATGGTCATACGTTTTATGCTGCGCAAAGATTCAGTTTAATTTTGGCCATTACAAGAAGTGGGTTATTGATGTAGCAAATGCTCATGTACCCTTTACAGCTCATTTTATGTATGTTATTACCAAAGAAGAAAAAAAAGCCAGTCAGTCACTCAATAGTGTCTGACAGTGTAGTCTAGCAAGTAAACAGGTCCTTGCATAATTTGAATATTAGGACACTGCTAATGTTTACGTTTCACAGATAGGACATACACGACATGTTCATAATTCCTGCAAAGTTCTACATAATTTGATTTTGGCTGCAAAAGGGACACAGCATCTTTAATTATATCCAATTAGTCAAAGGGAAAAATTCAAAATTGGCATTGTCTTATATTGTCATTAGAAATTAAACATCAATGCAAACGTACACCATGAAAATGAAATTTTTACATGTTTCAATAGTTGTGTAAATTGAAAATCAGGGAAATATTTTGAATATTTTATAAACTTTTCTGCATGCTTCTATTTCTTAATCGGTTATATTTACAGTTTAAAATGTACATTTATATTAAAGGTATAATCAACCTTTTCAATCTTTATTTGAAGGCTTGCTTGCAATTGTATACATGTACCGGGTAGTCTTTTCTGTTAGCATTGATAGGAAGAGATCTTTTTATTTGTAAAGAGAATTAGTTAATATTGTGATTTCTTCATGTGTATGTCATAGAAAGAGCTACCCTATATTGAACTATGTACAATAAATATATACATATATTCTATTATTAAATTTGTCCTTTAAAAAGGATAGAAAGTTCCAGTAAAGATCTCAAGGCCAAAAGTGTGACATGAAGTGATTTAATATTCCTGACCTTAATAAATTATCTCTTCTTTTCAAGAGTGCTTGTGCACTGACAATGATCATTAAAGGGCCACTCTAACCCAACTAACGTAGCCTTTCAAAACATGAATACATCTCTACTTATTAATATTCCAGCCTCTGATTTTTCAGAAAATCTCTAAATTGATCAAAAAGTGATAATACGGTCACGTGGCTTCATGACGCATTTGACGTCATTGGCGGGCATGTCCAATTTGATAATTTCATAATTTAGAATGATGAAATTGCCAGAATCGTACTGGAATTATCAAGTGCATAGTATTTTTCGGATAAAGGTCTTTTTTTTCTTCAATTAATATCATAGTTTGCCTTTTTAAAGACATTTTAATGCCTACAAGTAAATCACCCTCCTTTTCACCAGAGAGGTGCCTGCAGTGACGTCAAATGTCTCGTCACTGAAACTGCTTTTTTTTCCTGCACGTTCTGAAACGTCATTTTAAAAGCTAGATCCCAGAATTGATGATTTCTAAGAAAAATCATTGTCATGTTCGGAATCTCCGCCAAAAATTATTCTACATGTCTTTTTTTCATTTTTTAGCCCATTTTGGTTAGAGTGGCCCTTTAACTTGATCAATGTATTTTTTTTTAATTCGGAACCACTTCATTTTATGGTACAGGTATTTAACTTCGAATACATCTAACCCTAACATTATGTAATGGTTTCTCATACAGATTTTTCTTCTTTTTTTTTTCTTCCATATTTTTCCCTCCACAGGGATTTTATTGATTTTCATTTGAAACACATACACAAATATATATTCAAGGTAATTTGCATTAGAACATTAAAAATTGGCTTTTCAAGATACAAGTATTGTTGAACTGTTGACAAAAAACTAACAAATCAATAATTCATTTCTGACACTCATGGAATGAAAAACAAATACAGAAAAAATATAATTTTAAGTAAACAAATTCCTGAATTGAAACCATTTTCTTGTGAATTTATTATTTCTACAAGTCGAATTTGCAATATACTTTTCGTTTTTTGAAGTAATTTATAATCAAAACTCTAATATCAAAGTCGGGCAATTGTTTCTTTATTTTGCAAGATTTTTCATTGTCTCTATATTTCCTGTAATTATCACATTTTACTACTGCACTTCTCCCTTGAGACGCATGTCTATAATGAAATCCTCCTTTTATCAATGGTTTGTATATTCAGCTTCATATTGTGATTATGGTAGAAGGTGCTATTGCAAATAAAGGCTTTTATGCAATTAACCATCTAAACACCCCAAAATCTTTTGTATTTTGTATAAAATATGTTTATTTGTATTATTATGTGTTCCTGCATTTCTCTAGTATTGAGAGCCAGAAGAATGATGACCCGCTTGTAATGATGTGAGTAGGCCTACAGTGAGTTTAATGCCCTGCTGGGTCTGAGCAGATATTTTATAGCTAATGTACCGGTAGATACAAATTTGTTGACAGGTTCAATCAGTGTTGATAAAGCATACTACAGGCACCGCATAGGTTAGTCCAGAATCTGGCAGATTTAATTTTGAACAATATCCACATACCGTAACCGCGATCTTCCCCTAGTTGCTGCAGTAAAAAATGGTGTGATCCCCGAATTACTACACCCAGCTACAATGTAGTTGGGCGTACCATTGATGTGTATGGACTTGTGGATCACGCCATCTTCGGCTTGCACCAGGTAGGGGATGCATGGAAGAGATCACGATCACAAAATGAATTAAAACTATCCACATTCTGGACTATTCTAAGGTCAGAAAGGCTAAAATGGGTCATTACCGGTATATAAATCTCTGATATGCCTTTTACACCAAATACTGCTAACTGTTGCCAAAAGTCTGTAGATTTTAAATGGGGTATTTAAAAAAATAAGCAAACTTACATAGCACAATTACAAATGATTTATTAACGGTCCAAATTTAGGCTCTATTCCAACGGCATTTGAAAGACAGTTCTAATTTAGAACTTCTCAACAAAAAAAGGGGGCTTGAAAATGTCTTTAAAGATAAAGACCAGTTATGGTCATGCAATTGCATTGTGAAAGAAACGTGGAATCAATCAGAAAAAGGTTGATCATCTAGCATATAAGTATTGGTGTGTACTGCAAGGTTCTGGAATCATCAAAATGATAAGAAATTTGGCCCAGTCTTCGTAAAGTTACAAACACTGTACACAGAAAGATGTATATGGAACTACGCACACGTGCGTCTATCTCTCACAGTCCCATAGATAAACTAATTTACAAAATATATCAATAAGTAGGCGGTTTCCAGGCCAATTTTTTATCATGTATTAGTCAAAACATATTCTTTGACATGATTGGTAATAAAGAGCTTCCATTTCATTTTTTGAAATTGGGGCGTTTCTAATACTGGTCTTTACCTTTAAGTGGGAAAATAACGACTATTAGTTGTCGAATCGACTCAGGAGCTATAGAGCCAGTAAGTAATAGTCTGATTTTTCAGACCATTGTACCGAATGGTTGTACGTTTTATGCTGCGCAAAGATTCAATCAGTTTAATTTTGGCCATTACAAGAAGTGGGTCCCCTTTACAGCTCATTTTATGTATGTTATTACCAAAGATGAAAAAAGCCAGTCATTCACTCAATAGTGTCTGACAGTAGAGTCTAGCAAGTAAACGTGTTTCCTTGCATAACTTATATATTAGGACACTGCTCAAGTTTAAATTTCACAGATAGGACATACCGGTACATGTATTCCTAATTCCTGTAAAGTTCTACAGAATTTGATGTTGGCTGCAAAAGGGACATAGTATCTTTAAGAAAGACTTGAAGATGATGTTTTACAGGAGCGAAAATAAAGAATAATGCTCAGAGTTGGTAAAAATCTGTACATGTTTATCATTCTCATTTAATTCATTCAAGTATTACAGATGCTGTGATTCCCAAGGAATGGTTTCACAAACTACAGTAAATGGAGGTCTTTTGGGTAACCCATGCCAACAGATTAGTATCCTGAAATGAGTTTTCAAAATTGTAATTACTTTTAATAAAGAAGACAAAATACATGTACATGTATGTCTAGGTTTTATGAACTGATTACATGAACAATTTTCACTATATTATTTCTAAAAGGTATTTGTCACCACAAGGATAAACATATGTATTATGTGTATGCGTAGTACATGTACATGTAGCTCCTAAAAGCATTTGGACAGAAAAGGCATTGTAAAATTACAAATGTGGAATTTCTACCTAATTTTCAAACATGTAATATATTGCAAAAATATTATCGGTAATAATCAATTGAGGCCTACCGTATCTATGTTTAGAGTTTATTACATGGACAAAGGATAACTTTTAGACACTTCATTATAAGTTAATATTGATACCTTCACACACTCTGTACAATACATCTAGTGATATGGCTACCGTACTGCATACCGGTAGTGCACATATTTTGATGAAAACAAAAATTACCAGTATTCAAAATGCTGAGGCCTTCACATACAGTATATGGGGGCAGGTCCAAGCTATTGTCCCCTCTGAGGGTCAAATTTCATCTTTATATATATTTAACAAACTATACCTCATTTTAAAGCTGAAACTATGAATTTTATGAATCTGATAAAAAAAATTAAAAATTATCAAAATACGAAGAGTGCCAAGGTCGCGAACTTCGATTTTTATTAATTAGCGTGACGTACGGGACATTACATTTTTATTTTTGTATCTCCTTTGAATTATTTGTTTAAAATTAAATATCTCAGGACATGTAGACCATCATGCTAGAAAATAGGAAAAAAATATCAAAACTTTCAAAATTAATTAATTATGCAAATGAGGTAGGTTCCGAAGT